ATGGGCGGGGCGCGGGAAGGGCAGGAGGGCGCGGGCACTTCCGCATAGCAACGGGCGTGAGGCGTTGCTAGGGGCGCGCGGGGATGGAGGGTGAGGAGCTCCCGGCAGGGATCGGCCCTGGGAGTCCGCCGCCCTGGGAGAGGCGGTGGAAAAGTGTCAGGGAAAAGGGGAGTTGAGGGGAAACCGTCTGTGTGCTGATCCGGAGTAAAGAGGGAGGTTTCCCTTAGAAATCGGCGCCTGGTGCAACTGCTGGGAATGGGAGAGAGGAGGGGATGGTTTAGCCTGGAGAAGAGGAGGCTCAGGGGAGACCTTATCATCCTCTGCAACTCCCTGACAGGAGGTTGGACTCAGGTTGGTCTCTTCTCCCAGGCAACCAGCAGCAGGACAAGAGGGCACAGACTCAAGCTCTGCCAGGGGAGGGTTAGGTTGGATATTAGGAAGAGATTTTTCACAGAGAGAGTGATCAGACATTGGGATGTGCTGCCCAGGGAGGTGGTGGATTCACCATCTCTGGAGGTTTTTAGGGTGAGACTGGATGTGGCACTTAGTGCCATGGTCTAGTGACCACGGTAGGGTTGGACTTGATGATCTTGGAGGTCTTTTCCAACCAGGTTGATTCCATGATTCTATGATTCTAAGCCTTTGTGGAAGGGGATGGAGGGAGAGGGCAGTGCTGTGGAAGTCAAGGATGTGGGATTCTGCAGCCTGAAGTGGTGCAGAACAGAACGAACGTGGGCAGTGCTCAGCCTGGGGCCGCTGTTCTGGGGGCTCTTCTGCCTTAAATGTTTGTGTTTCTTCCCCAATGCACACTCAGAGTCACAGAATCATGGAATATCCTGAGCTGGAAGGACCCACAAGGATCAGAGTCCAACTCCTGTCCCTGCACAGGGCTCCCCAACATCCCACCATGTGCCTGAGGGTGTTGTTCACTGCCAAGACTTCAGGGACATTTACTCTTTGGCTCCTTAAAACAGTTCCTCCTGGAGCTGAGGCTTTATTGACGTTGATCTATTCCCACTTACACATTTCCAACCACTTTTTTGAGGGGTGTGGGTAAAGTTGAATGCAAACCAGACTATGAAGTCACGGGCAGAACACTCACTTTCTACTCATTTAAACATGAGATGATTTAATGGTTTGGACTTGGCGATCTCAGAGGCTTTTCCCAACCTTTATGATCCTATGAATGCCTTTTCAACCTTTGGAACAAAAGCTACATTTGACAGATTTGCCCTCATTGCCACCCAGAATAAAGTAATCATTCAACAGGCTCTTGTATTTATATTTAATTGTCTGCAAAAGGATGTGTTACAATTGAAGGGGGGGAATGACATGTTAATGTATGAATAAACTATGCAGGAGGTTGTGCAAACTTCATTTCTGCCCTACAGGAACAACGAACAAGATCACTTGATTGCATGAGAGATTCCAGAGGCTTTATCATCCCTTCAGCACAGTCTCCACTGAGATTAATCAGTCACAAATGCACATTCCAGCAGAGGACACAAATCATGGCATCTCCTTATGGAGTTAATGAATGACTCACCTCCCTCTCTAGCCCTTCCTCCTCTACAGCCCAAGGAAAATGCTCCATAATCCTAGAGATGATGAATTCAACACTCAGGAGACAAGGCCAAGGGTAAAGTTCCTCTCAACTCCAAAAAGGAGCTGATTTAAGCAGTCCATAAGAGTTTGTGACACTGCATGTAGCTCTCCAACATACAGCACAGCTCGAGAAATGAGTTCCACATGTAGGACAAATAAGCAATGACTTTAAGATAGAGCAAGTGTTACTGAGGGAGGTTGTTCCCACTTATCCTGGGGTTTGTTAGCAGGAAAATATATACATTTCTTTACAGCCTCAAGCCCTGAATTTTGGAGCCATTTGCTTTGTCACTAAGTATTTAATTTGTCTTTCCAGGTCCCTTTTCCAGAGTAGCTTAATGACAGCAAATTCAAGGGAAAGAATCAGATTTACACTTTTCCACTTAAATCCTGATTTTGAAGGATCTCGAGCTTAGCACTAGGTGGAAGCCCAGGACAAGATGTGCTAGGTGTGACCAGAGTGCAGAGGAATGATAGTGCTGGAGACTTATTGCCTGTAATTAATCATGGAACAGGCTAATTAATCTCCATGTAGCTGTTCTGACAGCAGGGCACACATCCCATTTGGTGAAACAGATTGCAGAAGAATCCAGAGGTGATGATCCAGGCAGGACTGCCCTGGAGTTTGGAGGTGTATAAGTGAACAAGAGACAAACCCAAGTGCTTTTAGATGGTGTTGCTGGACTCACTGCTGCTCCTCCAGCTCAGCTGAGGGCTGAGAGCACTGGAGTAACCTGCTGGGGAAACAAATTCCCATGGTTTTGAGTCTCTTGCTCTCTCAGACTCCAGGTTCAATGGCTGTTGACAGCAGGATTGGATTTGGCCACATGGACTCTGAGTGCAGGTGCCCTGAGTGAAAGGCCAGGGCAGGAACAGTCAAGTCTTGAACATGCTCAGGAGCTGCAAAAATAAACTGTACTGACATTTAATAAATAGAGAACAGACAGCAAGCAAGCAAGAGTGAGGAGCCACCACTTTGCCTTCTGTTTGTTATTGGTCAGGCATGTTTATATAAAAAAAGGTACAGATTTGGGATCTATTAGATTGGTTGTTCCATCCAGCCAAGCCAAACCTTTGGGAATTTGGGAGAACCTGGCAGAAGACAGCCTTGAGGCTCAACAACCAGGACACCTCACGGGACAGTGCAGGCTGGGAGATGATCTCTGAGTTTCCCAGTTTCCTTCCTTTTTGTCCCAGTCTTTGTCCAAGCAAGATTCCTTGCTCTGCTGGGTGTCAGTTCACTCGGGGCCGTCACGCTCTCCGTCTGTGCCTGTATCCTTGGGCCTCTGTAGCTGGAAGAACACAAGAAATGCAATGTCAGCTTCATCCACCTGTTCTCCAAGTCTGACTGAGTCAGAGATCTCACCCCTGTGGTCATTTTTGCAATCACTCCAGCCTCTTGCTGAGAAAAAGGCTTCTGCACTGCTACACAGTTTGTGTCAGCTCTTGCTTCATCCTATCAAGAATCCCCTTCATGTCCTGTGACAGTAAGTGGTTTCTGGGCAGCAGCTGGAGGAAATCAGATGTGCTGTGCCCTGGTAACTGACTTTAGGAGTTACCTTGTCCCTGCCACGCTGGAAAGTGAAGAGTAGCCAAGGGTTCAAATGACTTTTAACAGTGCCAGCTCTTCGCTGTGTTCCCACCCCTGTCATCCTGAAGTAGTTCCAGGACTGTCTCCACTGGACACTTTTTCTCCTGCCTGCACTGCACTCCACTAGGAGGAGTCTCACCCCCAAAAATAGGGAAAGGAACCCATTTCAACCAGTTCCTTTGGCGCTGGTGCTGTGATGAACCCCCATGACAAGCCAGATGAGAAGCACAGACCATTCCAGCCTTGAGGGCTCTGCTGTGTTGCACCTCCAGCACCTCAGAGCCCTGCAGGACATCTCCCCTTGGCTGCAGCACCCCAGGATGGCCCTGGCACCCCATCTCACCCGGCTGCATGTGCACCGTGCGGCACAGGCTTTGGCCTGGCTGGCTCCTGTACACAGGCTTGACACACACTTGGTTGGTGGTGCCCGAGGGCAGGTCAGTGAGCAGCACACTGTGCACCTGAGGGGACACACTGAGGAGGGAGGAGGGCCCGGTCTGACGCCGGCACCGCACTCTGTACCCCACCACGTCCCCGTCCGCTGAGTCCCACGAGGCTCTCAGGCTGTTGGGGCCCATGTCTTCAAAGCGAAGGTGCTTCACTTTGGAGCTCTCTGGAGAAAGGAGATCCATGTTACAGTGGGACATTTGTAGAGAGTCATCCTTGCTGCCTCTCTCCCTGCTCCTCCCAAGAAGGGTCAGCCAACCTGGGCTTGGTTGGAGAGATGCAACATCACTCTACATCTCCACGCTGGAGAAGATCAGGCTAATTAATCCTTAAGTTTGTCCTGGTACAAAATACTTTTGTTAGCACCTTTAGGTATTAGTTGTCACCTCTCACACACCCTCAGCTCTGTGATTCTCTGAGTTCCTCACTCTTGAGTCCTGTTATCAGGACTAACTCCCTCTTATCAGGAGCTAGACTTTGCCTCCTGCAATATCTTCACAGGTATTTCTCCAGACCACAAGCTTCTGCTGCTGAAACTTCTACCCCTCTGATGCTAAATCACACAAGACACTGAGGACATAGGAGGGAAAGGCAATTTTCCTTTTTCTTTAGGGAGATTCAGGGAACTCCAGGTCCATTCTGGTTGTGAATTTTACACACCTGTAACATCAGCCATACTGTGAAAGTCATTTCAGTCATACTGAAAGTCATTCCCTTTCAGCCCTTGTATCTGCTGCATTCTAATGGCACATCACAATGTGATATGATATGGACTAGATGAATTTTAAGGTCCATTCCAGCCCTTAAAAATTCTATGATTCTGTGATATGACGCTGCTCATGGGAAGCTGCAGCTTTCCCCCTCTCATCCCACCCCAGTAACTGAATTCACTGAGTTCTCTGCCTTCACCTAGAGGCAGGTGATCCATGCAAAGACACAGGGACAGTGTGTGCCCACACAATTCCCTCTCACAATGTTCTGCTCACTCACCTTCCAGTGTGCATGCTAAAGCTGACAGGGATTTCTCCTTCCCCGACCTGTAGATTGCAGTCACTGTCACCAAGTAGGTGCTGTTGGGGGACAAATTCTCCACCACAGTGCTATTGTGCCTCCCATCCACCTCCAGCACCTTCACTGAGTTCCCTGGCAGTGGTCCATACAGGATCTGATAGCCCATCACACTGTCCAGCATGGGAGCCCAACTCACATGGAAGCTGCGTGGCCCAGACTCTGAGATGAGAACCTGAGCTGGGCTGATTTCCTCTGAAAGCAAGGAAAAAAAGATGTGAATAAGGATGTAATTCAAGGCATAGGAATCTGTCAGAGTGTAATTGACCTGCACCATATTTGGCTTGCAGGAGATGGAAGAAAAACCAATCCAGCAAGTGGATGTTGATAGTCATCCAAGACAGTACAACCCAAGCTCAGCCCTGAGACTGTGCAGCATAGAGTGGGCAAAACTACTCAGCCAGAACTGTTCTTGCATGGAGAAAATTAACCTCAGACACAAATTCATCAGCTCTGCTCAGGTTTCAGTGTGCCACCTTTTGCATGCTGCTATCCAGCACAGACATGAGTTATTCTGCTGGCCCAAGCCTGCACAGAGAGGATGTTTTCTGCTTCGAGTGCTCTCCCTCTCCTTCCTTCTTAAACAGGGGTTTCCCATCAGTCATGCAGCTGCTTCCAGCACTCTCCTCTCCCCTAGCTGCCCCTCCAGCCTCAGGGAGGAGACAGATCTCCTTATTCCCAGAGCAGCTGCTCCAGCCATGCCCCTTTTACCTGGCAGTGTCGTCACCCTTGTTGTCTGGGGAGGGAAGTAGTGGACATTGGATTCAGGAATGAGCACCACCTCGTAAGTGGTTTCTGGTGCAAGGTTGCTTAGCACAAGGCTAGTGTGAGCCCCAGACACCTGGTTTGTCCTCTTCCTTGCTGGATCATCTGTTGGGACATATTCCAGGGTGTAGTAGCCAGTTTCTTGGGACAGGAGTTTCGGCCACATCAGTTGGAAGCTGCTTGAGGTGATATCTACTGCATGGAGCCGATTGGCTTGGATAACACCTGGAGGAGAAACAGGAGCAATAAATCACTGTTGGCATCAACACACAGCAGACATGGAATGCCTGAAACTCCAGCCCTTCTGGATGGGGGATGGAGCTGACAGCAACACTGGCTCAGGTCACTGAGGTGTAGCTCATCCCAAGCTCCCTGTGGAAATCACCTACCAATGGCACCAAACCTCTAAAATCTCTCCTGTTTGTGAAGTGTGAAGAAACACATTTCTCCCTGCTCTCTGCTGGTGCCCAGTGGCCAGGAAAAAGGGGCAGCCCCTGGGGAGTGCCCAGCCCTCACTGAGCCAGCTGCATTCATCCCAGCTGAAGTCACTCCCTGCAGGGTTTCACAGAGCTCTCTTGTTCGGTGACATTCAACATTCAGAGCCCTCTTGTGCCACCTCACCTCTCCCTGCCCCTGCACAGAGCCTTCCCTTCAGGCCTGGGGTTACCTTTGAGTTGTAGCCCCCAAATGCCAGGCACAAATACCTCTTCTGACGCTGGCAGCTCCCCCAGCTTCCTCTGCCACTTGACCCTTCTGCCACGTGTGCCCTGCCAAGCCCATCCTGGGCAGAATTCCACTGCACTCTGATCATCCAGAGGGGCAGAAACACACAGCACTTTGTTTCTAGCTCCGGGGAAGTGACATAGGAAGACATAAAGATGCTTTTTTTTATTATTAAAAAGGACTTTTAAAAGCACCTGAGCCCAGAAGAAGTACATTTGCTCCGCACAGCATCACTCCTGAAATGTTATGATAGAACCTTCCAGATTAAGCTTAAATACCTGACAGATTGCTGTAGGTAGTTCTCTCCAACTCCCCATTACACAGAGGTAAAGAGATGCACAAAAGTCTGCCCAGCCCTACAAGATGTGGTCACTTTGCACTCTCAGACTTGTCCTTTAACTGGGAGAGGATC